TAAATATACTGGGGTGCCAAAAAAATGTATACACATGTCTTGTATTCATCTGTTGTTATCGGTATATATTGAGTACTATAATTTTAATAGGTTTTTCCTTTCTTAAAATGTGCATACATTATTTTTTTGGCATCCTCTATATAAGAAGATGAGAACCTACAACACACACAAAATGTAGTCTGTTGATCTAAAGTCGGCTCAAACTGTCAAGTTTATGTTTCTAACTCTGGGAAGATCCATGTCTACCTAACCCATAATGATTATCTAGCCAATTAACAAATACACCTGATTAAGAACATTTTATAACATGCGTTGGCAATCTATTTCATGGTCCAAAAAAATGGGATGCAATTAACAATAGACAATTGTTAATTAAGCCATTTCACAGTTTATTACTCAGGATCTCATTTTTCTCAACACAATTAAAATCAGATTCTGAATATTATCAAAACCCAGGATTCGGTGAAAACATTCTCTTTGGTTACATGATATTGTACTACCATTAATATTTCAGTAACTTGATAGCCTTTTTAATAGAAATACTTCCTTGCTGGAAAAAATATATTTGATAAACTAGTTGACTTAATGTTCTCATTAAAAATAGAATTTTAGAATTAAACACTGCAAGACACCACACACGAAGGCATAATCCGCACTCCACAGGAGACGTATCTGACTGTCTCCCGACCTACCTTGTTAGCACTTAGTAAATAATTAAATAAGCGCAGCCTCATCTAATCTGGTAACTTCCACTGTGAATTCTGTGCTGGGGATCCCCAAACCTGAGTCTCCTGATTCCAGAATGCACATTTCCAAGTGACTGCTGGGCTTCTTCCTATGGAAGTCGCAAAACGTGAGGAAAATGTTGCTTTTAGCTGAACTTGCTTTCTAAATTATGGTCCAGCAAGGAGCACTGGTATCACCAGGAGCTTGTTGGAAAGGCCAACTCTCAGACACAGTTTCCAACCTACTTCAAAATCTGCATTTTGTCATTACCCAGGTGGTTCTTATGCATGTTCAAGTGACAGAAGCACTGCCCTGTGATTCTCTCATCTCTGTTGAATGTGACTTCTTCACAAATGTTTTCAAACAGGCAAAGCACTTGGCCAACCAGCCTCTCACAAGGATTTTATGGAGATTAATTTTTAAACCTCTGCAGATTACATTATTTTTAAATTTCCTTGAAGACAGGAGCTACCTGCTTAAAACCACTAAAAAAAAACGTGAAAGGTGATCCTTCCTTATTGGAGGTTCTTTAATCAGTACATGTATCACTTCAACATGACATCTTTACTATAATTCCTGAGTAAGCTCCAGATGTGTTATTCTTAGAAACATTTCTAACCCCTACTAAAACTGTGGATTTTACAGATTTCCCTATTTTGCCAAAACAAACAGTACAGTCCCAGAACAGGCTAAATGTATACACAGGATCATTCTGTGGCTGCTTTGCCCTACCTGTTAAGACAGCTGAACAAAAACCTTGACACAGACTGGAAACCGGCATCCCCCACCAGAGCAGACCATATGTGCTGTAGAGACAGGTTCACACCACCCGGCTCTGCGATGCACTTTCTATACCGACATACTCAGGTTTTTGCAGCTGGGAAACGTATAGCTCTGTTGAAAACTGCGTGCACAATGTCCTGTTTGGGAGCCTATTTCTAAATTAGCAACCCCCCACTCCCACCCCCNCCACCCCCGCCTGCATAATGGGTTGCCACGCTCTCTTTTAATGACAGTATCGGAGTGCCAGATGGCTTTGTGGTCCGTGGCTATAGTCCCTCCGAATTGTGTTGTATAAAACAAGATTTAAATGTTATCCATCAAACTCTGGTCAACACTTAGTCTGATATGTCACATATTAATCCTTCCCAATTCACTAACATTATCTTCAAGGGTCACTCGTAGCATTCAGCAATTTACAGCTGTCTTGTTTTACTTTTCACTGTAAGGGTAACTATCAGGGATATTATGAAGGAATTCTTGAATTGAGCGAGGAGGTAGTGCTTAATGGCTTCAATGGAGCTTTTTAACTCCAAAATTTCACAATTTCTCAACTTTGTAACTACTTCTATATTCATGAGTGATAAATGTATGGCTGTAACATCAGGTTTTCCCTGAAATTCATTAGAAGAAAATGTTTAGGTGGCTTGGTCATTAAATAATTAAGCTTCTTAATTGGCATGGACAAAAAACGTTGAATAGTTGCAGTCTAAATCTGGCTTCAATGGTATGCAGTGAAACATTAAGCTTCGGAATTATTCCTTGAAGAAATTGTAGAGAAGAAGGCTACTAACTATGTAAAAACAAAATGTAAGAAACTAGACATTGACATTGAAGAAAGATTCACATTTTTAAGAATGCCAGGAAAGCAGCAAAAAATGTTGGTCTGACATGGCCAGAAGAAATTAAAAGAGCAATGTTCAAATGCTCTGATCATTTTCACCATAACTGGACATTTGTTCTAAGTCAAAGGATCAGTGTCAGTGTTCACCAACACGCAGCCACTTGCTCTCATTTTTGCAAAAGAAAAAAAAAATTCTGGAGGGTTTTACCAAATGTAATAGAAATGTAGCTTGAATTTCCTAGTTTATGTATTTTAGTGGACATGTTTTGACCAAGAAGTTTTTGGAAAGCCACTAGAAACAACCCTGAAGAAAGTTTTAAGAATTTAGGAATGTAGTGTGAAGTGGGTTTATGAATCTCTACCAAACTTATTTTTATGAATTTTCCTATTTGTGCACTTGCTTCAAATGAGAAAAAAAAAATTGAAGTTAGTAAAGTGTTCTTCAATCAACTGAACAAAGATTGACAAATCTGGCTATACTCTATAGAACATGGATATGTGAAAAAGATCAATTTTTATGAAGTCTTAAGACAAATTTGCAAAAGGTTAAAAAATAGTACATGTAATGTTCATTACAGTGAAAGGCCAGTATTTTCCCATATTCATAAAATACACTAAAAATACGAATGTTATGATCTTTTGCATGTTATTTTTACCATGCTTTCCCTTTGCTGCCTTTTTAAATCTTTCTTTCCTTCTCTTCGATTGATCAAATTACTGTTATTGCTTCTTTACCTTTACTGGTTTTGAAGTTACATATTCTGGTTTTAAAATTATATATCCTGGTTTGGTCTTTATCCTTAACTTGTAAAAATACATAATTCCATGTTGATCTAACAAAGCCTAAAGTTAATATTTCTATCCATCTTCCAAATGTTTTAGAAGTATTACCATTTACTTACTTTTTTCTAGGTTTCCTTAGGGTGGAAAAAAATCCTCCATTCCCACCATTCCAACCTCAACCCAAATAATTGGGCTTTATATGAGTATACTCCACAGAAGGGGAAGAAAAACAATCTGGATTTATTTAGTAATGTAACTTCACTATTTCATACCTATTATTGTATTCACCAGATAACACATTAAACTTAGACCACCTTTTGTTTCAATAGACTAAACTGAGGAAGAATAAACATAAGAATGTTTTAATTTCAAAAGGTAAACTATTACAGAAACATCTGTAGAATTACTTGATAAAATGCTCAAGATGAATACAAATAAAGCACCTAAGAGTACAAAATGTATGCATGTATATTGGAGACATGGAAAATGAAAATAAAAAATGTGAATATGGGCATTAGAAAGCAAATAATCCTGTCAGTGTTGTTTGAAAAATAACTGAAAAAACATATTCATTTAAAACAAAACCGAGTGCAATAAGCCACAGCATTAAATCTGTAGTAGCCAATAAAGAATGCATCTGCTTTTGTTCCTATAAGGATCCCAAAGGCCACACTTAAGAGTAATGTGTAGGTAGAACTAGAGACCCCTTTCCGTTGCTACCTTTTCAACTGTGTCCTTTGTACTATTTTTCTAGGGGGGAGCTGGGATTCAATGATATGTCATATACAATGTCACCAGAAAAGCAGCAGACCGGTTAGGAGGCTGTTTCACCAAACCAGGTTAGGTATGATGAAGGTGGAGTAACACAAAGATAGAGAACAGTAAATAGATTAGGGAGACATAGGAGAGGTAGAATCGATAAAAATGTTGAGAAGGGTAAACGGTGAAAATAATTCCTTGGTTTCTGGTCTACACTGGACACTACACATTTGTTAAGTGCACGCCGAGACAGGGAATATGAGATGGAAGTTTATCAAGTGGGGAAATGGATAGAGAAAATGCCAGCTCACTTTGGAACCAGTCAATAAAAACAAATTTACCCTGTTACACCAAAATACAAGAGTACATAGATAAGGTCTAAGGCCATTTTTAGAGGTAAGGCCACTAAAGGTGGTAGGTTCAAGAATGAATTCCAAAATAGTCCTGGACATAACTAAAGCTTCTCAGTGCTGCTAGTGATTTAGCAAATATCCTTTATCTACTCAATGTTAAAAGGGTTAAACATGTCTTCCTTCAACAGTCTATTTATCAATAAATACCTAGCAATTTAGTAATAGCTAAATGATACACACAAATGGTCCTGGGTGCTCTCTTTCAAATGGTAAGCTAAAACGGTATGATGATATATTTGTTCTTCCTTATCCCTTAAATAGAGATACTTCAGCATCTTCAGCTGTAATTAATTTAGAAGTAGAGAACAGTTTAGGATTAAGTACCAAAATCACTCAAGGGAAGAAATCGTGTATTTCTTATGTTCTTAAAAGACATAGGGGCCAGGCAAAGTAAATATAGCATCATCACAGGGTATTTCCTGAGTTCAAAACATGTTAACTCCAAAACACAATTCCTTATGGCAAAAATGAGTTAACTATTTTGGGAGGGGTGATAAAAAATGCTCTAAAATTGATTGCGGTGAATATTCTAAAACCCAAAGAACTATACACTTTAAATGGGTGAGCAGTATATGAATTGTATCTCGATACAGCTGTTATTTTAATAAATGACTTTTTAATCCACTAATAGCAGATTTAAATGCTCTGATTTTACATTATGCTTCTCAGGCTTTACTAGATATCAAAACAAGGAGTAAAACAGAGAAAAAGTAACTTTATTGGTATTTATGCCTAGCACAATTGAATTAAAATAAAATGGAACAGAGCAATTTATTTTTTCTAATTGTGTATAACATATAAACAATTTTTTAAGTTTCTGTCTTTTTATCATCATATGATTGTGTTCATGCAAGTACAATCATCAAAACTGTCCTAAGCTTACATCATAGCACCACCTTTTATTTGATGTAAATTTTATTGGTAAATATATCTGGCTTTAGCAATGTAAACATTTGCTACAAGTAAACTTTAAAAGGTAAAAGTGAATGATACTAATGAATAAATCAAAACAGAACTCAGCATCACCACATGATATAATTCAACAACACATTATATAATACTGTTTCAATAAGAACTACAACTTTAAATAGATTTCACAAAATGGAGGCAGAAACAAAAAGTAATGTGTAAACTCCCAAAATAGTGTTAAAATACTGAAGTATATAGTGTAAAATTTATCTCAGAAAAACAAGGGGGAAAAACAAAACCATGCAGTGAAAACCAAATTTGGTTTACAAGTTACAATAGTCTTTTTTTACTGCCAAGCCTTTTTAAAATGCATTCTCACAAAATGGTTTATTTTCCATCTGCCTTTTTAAAAAATTATCACGTTTAATCACATAAGTCGGGTACTTTTGGGAATTTCACATTTATTGTCAGTTGTAGGATTGTCACACAAAAAACTTATGATCTCTAAGCTATTTCTCCAAATGACCAAAAACATTAAATTATCTTCATGAAAATTACCATACATAAAGTCAAATAATTCCTAAACAAATCATCATAAAAATAAATCTGCCTTAAAAGAATAAGCACAGAAAAAGTGTAAATATAAGTGCTGAAAATCACAGAAAAATATTCGACAAACAGGAAAAATATTCACATTTACCATTACTGTTGATTTTGTTTACTTTCTAACTGAAATTAAGAAACAAGTTTTTAAAAGTCAGCATGGACATTCAGTGCCACTTGGATGTTTCTGCAATATACAAATGGTTATGTCTCTGTCGTATATGGCAGACTCTATTTTTACTCTTTAACATAATTAAGTTATAAAGACCTCAAATTTCCAAAACCAGTTATAATACTGTGGCAAGCAAAAACAATTTTGTTTTTAATGCTCTTACATCCCAGCTTAAATCTACAAAAGTGAACATTTTTCCATACGTTGTCTCGAACCACACTAGTACAAAAGGAGTCTAGCGAGATATCTCTGTTGGTTTCCACAGATGAACTAAAAAAGGGAAAAAATGAAAACTGAAATATTATTTCATCTTCTTCGACGTCCTTAACATGTTTAGCACTTCAAGCTGCACTTGACACAGCAAGTTTCTTCAAATGATCCATGAACACTTGTAAACTAACATCATCTGTGAGAATAGGTGCTCCAGACTCCTAGAAAAAAAAGATATTTGCTATGATTAAAACATAGTGTAAGACCTTCAAATCTATAGGCAATATAAACACATGTTTAACAAACACGGAAAGTTTATGCTATGAGGTGAGATGACTCAGGATGGATGGAGGCCAGTTACCAGAAAGATCGACCATGTGATGAGGGTTGGTGCTTTAAGACAGCCTGACCTGCAGGGATGGGAAAGGAGGGGCTGGAGACAGAGCTCAATCAGGCACAAATGATTCAATCAATCATGCTTACAGAAAGGAACCACCCAAAAAAACCTCTGGATACCAACGCTCAGTGGAGTTTCCCATTTGACAAATACATCAATGTGCTGAGAGGGTGACACACCCTGATTCCAAGGGGAAAGAGCACAGAAGCTGTGCACCCAGGACCCGCCCAGACCTCACTGTGTCTGTCTCTTCATTTAGCTGGTCCTAATTTGTAACCTTTATAATAAAGCAGTAATCATAAGTAAGGTGTTTGCTAGGTTCTATGAGTTGTTCTAGCAAATTACTGGACCTGAGGGGGGCATGTGAGCCCCCTACACACACACACGGATTTGTAGCCAGTTGGTTGAAGTGTGGGTACCTGGGACCCTACCTGCAGCAGACATCTAAAGTGCAGGCTGTCTTGTTGTGGACCATGTCCTTGAACTCGTGGGGTCTGAACTAACTCCAAGCGGTCAGCACCATGGCTGTATCGCAATTTACCTATTGGTGTTAGCATAGGTCCATACCGAACTTACTATTTCAAGTAGCATTAATCTTCTTGAATTTATTGGTGCTTTTATCACTACTAAGGAGTAAGTCTCCTTATTGCTCCATTTACTAAAATAAAACTCCAATTCTACATTTTTAACAGAAATGCCAGCTGGAAGGAAGCAAACACATCATTTTTAAAATAAACTATGCTTATAAGTTTTCAAGTCATTTTAATTGATCTCTGCAGGTTGTATATAATTAATGAGAGTTAAGGAAAATTCCTAACTTCTATTAATGCAAACGGTGTTGACAGAATGACCCTGGTAATCCAACCCATTAATAATGAAATTTTACTATAACAAGAGAAAGATTTTATATCAGGATTTTTAGATTGTTCACCTGATACTCAAGTTACTATTAATCAATAAATACATAAAGTCTAAAAAAGAGATTAAGTAATTTTCAGAGGAGATCAGCAAGTTAGAGGCAAATGTGAGATGAGAACTTATTAGCTCCTGTGGTTCTAGTACGGCACAGCTAGACATGCCATTAGGCTCCTGAAAAAAGGAAATTCAATTTTGTTATGTGTTTTCGTATGTCAATTCATAAGACCTTAAAAACCTTGCTAATGAAGGGAGGCAGCAGCACTAGAATAGAGAGCTTGGAGTTTGGAGCCAGGCTGCCTGGGCTCCAATCCCGGCTCTGCCACTTTCTGCCTGTGTGACACTGAGGAAGCTACTTAACCTCTCTGTCTCAGTTTCCTCATCTGTAAAATAAAGACAATAACAGGACCTATTTCACATGGTGGTTGTAATGATTAAATGAGTTAAATTGAGTAAAGCAAATAGAATTACTACCTGGGAGACAGAGCAGCCATACAACATGTTTTAGCTATTATTACCACCTCTTTTGAAAACTATTATTTTATAACACCGAAATACTTTTTCTTAGTCTACTTCTATAGATAACGCAGAGAAGCCAAGGTCTCAAGAATGTCACAACCTAATTAATAACCTGGTAGCTCTTGCTTTTTTCTTCCTATAATTATACCTGATTTTTTTTTCATTTATACATATTTTCCACCTCAATTCACCTAACCCCAGATCCATTTTTCCTAGTCAAGATAAAAAATACATATATGGATTTTCTAATTTACATACTAAAGGATCTTATTTGAAATTATAAGTACTAATGTTCAATTCACTCTTATCAAAAGTTTGCACTGGGTTGATCTCAAGCTTTCAAATGCGCCTTTTTTCTCTTTGAAACCTATCTAAGGTTAGGCAGAAAGGTCCGAGCTTTAGGTTCTTCAGTGCGAGACGCACTACAGCAACACAGGCCTCCAGCACCGCCGCGTCACAAGCAGTGTTGCAGTGCTGCCCTCTTCAGGCCATCCAAGGGCAACACTTACCACTGGGTACTGGATTTCTGACAAAAAGAAAGCTAAGGTATTAGATTCCATAATTTTTAGTGAAATTTTTGGCTACCAAGTTAATTCCTAAATTGCAATCATCAGTTTAGCTTAATGATAAAGATGCAGATTCTGGAGTCAGGCTGGCCTAGGTTCAAATCTGAACCCTGCCACAGCTGGGCTATGTGATCTTGGGTAAGTTAATTCATCTATATAAGCCTCAATTTCTTTTTCTGAAAATAGTAGGTTACTAGTACCCATCTCACAGGAGTGTTTTAATAATTAAATAGGAAGTGCATAAAAAGCTTAGCATAGTGACCGTAATACAGATTCAGCTTATTAGTCATTATGATTATTATCTATGAAACTATTAACATAATTTCTCTTACAAAAATCATAGGTCAAGAAAGCCCTCAGGCCTCTTGTCTACGCCTCTAATGCCGCTACTTCCAGGCAGCAAGAACTAAACTTCGAAGTTTAAAATAGGTTTTTTTCCCCTATCTGAAGTATCCTCAAGGAGAGGCTTGCTTTTTCCATTGATAAGGAAAACAAACTAACAGCTAACCTTTACGGAGCACCACTGTGCATATCAAGCATGTATTATTAAACTCTGCAGTGGACAAGGAAATGAAGGCAAAGACAAGTTACGTGACTTGCAAAGTCTGCCTTTCCAACTATCAGCCCAGAATGACGTCTCTCCAACTCAACAAGTTCTTTACTTGTTTCCCAATTACATCTCCATGTTGTAATTTAAACCAAGAAAAAACAAGGAACAAGTCAGTATTTTCATCAGCTAAACCAGGTTTTTAACGCAGAAATTCAGCTACAAAGAGACATATTGTATTTGGTCTGCATAATGTGGGCTCACAAAATTTTGTTAACTGAATTATGTGAAGGGCAAAAGTCAGCTGGAGGGGAAGAACTGCTGCCCCCCTTAGAAAAAGATTCTAAAGATCCTCCCCCCGAACCCTATCCCGCAACCCCCACCCCCAGGTACTGCTTCCTGACACTGAGAATATCAGGAATCACACTCAGCCAGCTTCACTCCTGTGTTACCACAATGGCCCTTAGGGAATAGGATATGTGACCCCTGACAAATACTAGTTCAAGTATCCTTTAACCTCTACTTTCCCACAGTGATTAACAGCCATTTCCGTGAACTTTATTTATTGGTGCTACGTTTCTATTTTCTCACAATCTTCTTAACTAAGTCTAAGTTTCTCATAAATTGTGGGATCCAGAACTGAAACCCTGCTCAGATGACTAGGTTTAAGCATAATGGAAGGGCTGGTTCGTGGTACATTCTGTGCTCCAAACTTCCACATCATAGTATTATACTTGGCTTTTTGTCCCCCAAGAAGTAGAACAGGGTGGAGGTGATAGTGAGGTTGTAAACGCATAGTCATTATATGGGCACAAATTTTTTTCTCTCACATGTGCTACATAACCTTTCCAAATCTTCCAAGATTAAGCTCCTTTCCTTGCTATAAAAACCTTACTTTAAGACTTTTAGACCATGGATCAATTTATCTACATCAGAAAACCTCCTTAACTCCTAACCATCTCCATAAACTTCCCATACTCTAATCTCTGTTCTCTTGTCCATATCCATTATATTCAATATATGCTATTTTAAGGTACTGTGGAAAGTCCAAAATGAACATGATACAGTTATTGTCCTCGAGTAATTTATAATCTAACATGAGAAATAAGTACCATCAGAAATGGGTGGGAACAAAAGAGATGAAGGAGCAGGAATATTATACAAACCCAGTCACGCAATCAGGAAAGGTTTCATGGAATCAGTGAGCTCTTAACTGAGGCCTGAGGGATGGCTATGATGTCCAAGTGATGACGGGGACAAAGTAACAGAGATGGGAACAGGCTCAATTTATTCAAAGTGGAATGGCAAATCCAGTTTCCCTAAAATGACTAAATAGGAGCTAAAAGTAGAAAAAGTTATTTGGATCATACCATAAGGGACCCTCAATAGCAATATAAAAATTATACATATAATACAATTAGGGCTTACTGAAGATTTCTAAACAGTACTGATTTTAAACTGCTTCTGGGAGACCACTCTGGCCAGAGACAAAATGGAGGAAAAGGCGGAAGCACTGATACCAGTTAGCAGGTAATTCCACCCAGGAATGTGGATAGTAACAAGGGCTCGACGTGGGTTAGTGACAGGGAAAGGAAGGAATGGACAAGGGCAATAGATCAAACCATCTGTGAATAATTAGGGGCAGAAGGGATGTAATGTAACTGACTAAAGTTCCAAGGCTTGGGAATTGAGAAAATGGTGGGGGCCTCTATAAAACTTGGAAAGTCAGCAAGAACAAGATAACGTCAAAGATATACATATTCAAGTTGGGGCGTGCTGCTTATGAAAAGTCTACAGGAAACTCAAGTGATGTGCAGCACGCAGTTATAGAAATTCAAGTCTACAGTTCAGTGTGAGGCCAAACCAAAGGTGGAAATCCGCAAGTCAGCGTCAGGTGAACGGTGAAGCCAGAGGAGTGGATGCAATCACCCAGAGAAACAGTGAAGGTAGAGACATCAAAGCAAAATTTGCAGGTGCCTATATATTTAAAGGGAAAGAGCCTTCATCCCAATTAGTGCTTCATTTATCTCCTATCCAGCCTGGACCTCAGAGTCCACTGTTTAACTCTGCTCTAAATTATTCTTCTCCCTTAAGTGTCCATCTTTCTTAGCTCCCGTTCTAAATTACCCCCCGAGTCTTTCACTGATGCAATGCCTGAACTACAAAGCAAGGTTAAAGAACATTAAGGAAGCATGCTCTAGAATCTGTCAGTAAATAAAAGGGCTCCTCACCACTGCTGTAAAAGCCTTTTATTCATCCTCTGTTGACTTCTTATATTCCGTATAGCTGTTTTTAATCTTTTCTATTTTCTATCTTTAACCCCAGCACTTCTCACTCTTTGCAAGCAATCTTTGATTACTAGAAAGAAACATGTGAGCTTTCTCTCCACCTCAAAATCTGTCTTCACCCTTCTTCTCACCCATTGTTTGTGCATAAATAAATGTCCTGTCTCCTTACCAATACTTAACTCCCGATACGTAGTACTGGTGATCACACTGTCTCGTTTTAAGGATCTTAAACATCTACAAGGCGTTCTTTTGTGTGCCCCCATTAGTTCCTTACACTTGGTCTGTAAGTAAGTTCTATGCCCTAACCCTAATAATAATCATCCTTCTATCCTACTATTCAAACTCAGGGTATTTTTGCAAAAGAATCATTTATACTTACCACTTCCTTTTCTTTACCACCCACTAATTCCTTACAATCAATCTTCTACTCAACTACCATGTTAAAACCGCTTACCATGGGCCACAAAGGATACCCTAGTCATCAAATTCATCTACCTTTTTTCAGTCTTCACCCTCCTATTGAAATAATTCCACTTATTGAAATAATAACCATTCAAGTATCTGTAGCATTTCAGTATTTGTTACCCCCATATTCTTCCTTCTATAAAGTCCTCCCTCATCTATTATAACATGGTATTTTTTTCATTTTCACTCCACCTCTCTGATTATTTAGAAAATATTCCTACCACTCATACTTCAAGGTTTTATCTCATGCCTCTTTTGCCTCTCAACTCTCTCCTTGAACAAACATCCACTGTGATGACTTTAAGTATCACCTTGCTACAGTCAACTTTCACCTCTTTTCCCTGATCGCCAAACCCAAATTTCCAACCACTGGCTCAATATGAACTTCTAGATGGTATCTCAAGCTCAGAGTGTCTCAAGGCTAACATTTCCTCTCGGTTCTCCTACTTCTGGAACATGTTCTCCTAGTTTCCTACACTCAAAACCCCAAATTACCTTGTTCTCCCTCAACTATTTTTAAAAAATTCAAACCTACAGACAAAAGTACAATGAACAGGCACATACTCTATACCTAAATTCACTGATTAACATTTTGCCACATTTGCTTTGTTTCTATATATTTTTCTTTCCTTTTATTTTTCTTCTTCTTCTTGAATCATTTCTGCAAGTTGAAGACATCATGACATTTTACCCTCAAACACTTTAGGATATATCTCCTAAGATCAAGGGCAATCTCCTACATAACCACAACACCATCATCACACTCAAGAAATGTGATAATACTGTACTAGTATCTGACATATACTCCACACTCAACGTTCACAAATCATCCCGATTATAGCTCTCTCTCCCTCAAATCCAGGATCCAATCAGAATTCAGATTTTGTGGGTAGCTGTTTTGCCCTGGAATAACTTTTATTTTCCTGCAACTTCTAATCAAGTCCAATTGTGTCTGTCTACTTTTGGAAATATCTCCCAAATCAATTCCTTTTCACCATCTTGCATTCATTTCCTCTAACTTGGATTACTTCAATAAATCTAGCTTCAAATCTACAGACTGCTCCCAATTAATCTTACCATTCAACTATAGTATCTAAGACTCAAATTCACTCCTCTGTCCAAAAACCTCCAATAACGTCCCATCATTTAACCAATAAAGACTCAGCTCCTCAGTCCTCAACCTGGCGTTCAAAATCCTCCACCACCTAGCTAGATGACACATTTTCAGCTCGTGTTCTGCTACTTGTTCAGCCATACTACCCTCTACCTAGAATTCCCTTCTTCATGTAATTTCCAACCACTGGCTACAAATAATAAGCATTCTAAAAGGAAATGTCACTTTTTCTGAGCTCTTTTAGAATCACACACCCTCTCCTGCTGCCAGCATGTGACCTCCTCCTGTCTTCCTCTTCTAACTTCTGTAATACTTTACATCTCTCTAAAAGCACATACCCCATTCTGCCTTGTATTTTAATTCCTTAGGTATTTATGTTTATCTTTAATAACAGACTACAAGTGCTTCAAAGGCAGCAATGATTGCTGTGTACCCTAAAGTACCAATAGAGATGCCTGCATATTGGACACTCAATAAATGTTGATACATTGTACCAAGAGGTAAAACATCTACCCAATTCAAATATATTAATAATGATTTTCCAGGCCTCCAGCCTCTCCTGTTCAACTACAGTCCCTACCTCTCCAGGCTTACTATGGCCTTTTGTGGTTCCTGGCCTAGCATCAAGTTTAAATCATCACTTCTGTCTTGTATTATACACTTTATTGCTTTTTTCTCAAGGGTGTGGTGTTAAATTTGAAATATAAAAGAGTTCTATTTCACATGATCACTTTTTTTCCTACAGTGCCACCAAATACTAATTCTATTTTCTACTCTTACTTTTTCATTACTTTTCCAATAGAAAGCGTTACCAAATACATAGGAAAAAATGTAGCTCTCAGTAAAATAATAAACTATAAATACACAGAGAAATAACTTCCAAGATCTGCTATTTACACTTACCTGTCCCCAGGCATACATGTTATTATGAGTCTGTGAAGGGTTGACTTTTGAAAGCAGAAAACGGGCCTTAAAAGCAAAGAAATAACATTATCCATCAAAAACAGACTTAGTCAATGTAAGTTGAACAAATACATTATGCCATCTAAAATCAATTTTATTTAATATGTTGTGGTAAAATTAATTTTATTAAAATGTAACTTTTTAAAAAACGAACTGAATTTTGAAATATGTAGGTAGGCCACTATATGTTACAAATAAATAATAAATGCACCCTCTTCTCCCCAAATCATATTTATAATATTAATAATAAATAATTGTTGAATCTAGAACTCAGCATATAAAAATTATGTGTGCAATAATTATGACAAGGTTAGTATGAAATTTACTAAACATGTGGTCTGAAACATCATCAGAGGTTGGAAGTTCCAAAAAATGATAAAAATAAAGACCATGAAAATCTATATATTCTGTTACTTTAAGCAATGACTCTCAAACTTTTTTAAACTATAGGCTATACTATGAGACAACCTACCTGACATTTTACCCATCTATCCACTATGCCTTATCATCATTAAATTAAAAAAAAAAAACAGAATAAAAGAGGAAAATAGCACTACACATGATGAGACATCAATGAAAAAAACAGTCGTAAATTATATTTCATATTGGAAGAACACAGGCACTCATATCTTTTGAAACTTAGTACTATACAAAATCTTTTTCTACTCTATAAGTGAACAGTTTAACACAAGACAACTAGCTCTGGAGTCAGAACATCTCCATTGAAATGCCACTTCCTCCATTTACTGTGTTTCTATAATCTGTATAATGGAGATAATAATAGGACTACTATGACGATCCAGTGAGATAAGGTATGTAAAGTGCTATCAGCTTGGCAAATTCTCAATACATGGTAGCTAATATAAATATAGCAAAACCCTAATAACAATGGCTATCATTTCTGAAGAACAGTTATTTATTACCTACTTTGCAATACTGTGCTGGGCACAAGGAACACAGCAAAAGATAAAGCATGACCTATCTTAAAGGAGCAAGTGAAATAAACTTCTAACAACTTATAATGAATTTAATATAACTCAAATAAGAACTACAAGGGAGAAGTCAAAAGTATTTTAAGAATGTGTGTTAAGGGGTCCAACCTAGACTTCAGAAAGGCCCAAAAGAGTCATGTGTATATGAACAGGTATCTCAATTAACCCTCATAATTCTAAAAACCACAAAGCCTTTATAATACCATAGTGCTTTCCTCTTACATGACATTTTCTAGATAACTGGAATGACAGAATGAGGAAAACAGGAAAAATTACATGACCACAAACTTCATATTCATAGACTTAATCAGGAAATAACAGCTTAAGAAAAGAACACTACATTATTTCCCGAGCTGTCCACGTCTCCTTGTTCACCTGAAGCTACTAGCATTGCACCACGATACTATCCTGGCCCTCTTACGAGAGCTGGGCTGGAGGCAGAAAAAGGGAGAAACTGCCAGCTTCATGCAACTGGCCAATAATCTCATTGCTCCGCTTTCAAAGCTAAGACAGAAAGCAAGCACATCTTCCCCTGGATACCATCCTCTCCTGCCTATCTCCTTCCTCTTTCATTTGCCTGGTGAAGCAATCTATTCAAATTAAAGTCAGAAAGCAAGCAGGAATGCCTCACTGCAAAAGTAGGAAACACACACACACACACACACACACACACACACACACACACACACACACACAGAGTACTTACCTGGCTGCCCCCATGTTCAGTGTCGATGTATCTCGGCATTGGAAACCGGGAGTGAAGAATCTCCTGGGCATCATCCACTGGGGCTTGCAGAAGGTGGCGGAAATTCTCATATTCTGGCATGTCCTGGTATCCTGACTTGCGCCACTGGGCTATGGTCTAATTTTAAAACAATTAAAGAAATTATTATTTTTAATTTGTTATCCATCTAAAAATTCTAAAAGATGATATTTTTCAAAGGAAATAATCTTCAGAAAATAAGAAAATTATACAGTATTATTCCATTTATCTCAATTTTTAAAGTTAAGAATACCAATTTCTGTATTCTTGAGTAAATAGATGTGAAATTAGTATATGTCTTCTCCTTTAAAAATAAAAAGAAATAATAATTATACCAGAAAACTTTTAAAAAACACTATGCTACAAAATTAATGTTGGCTAAAAGCTATTTACCTAAGCTTATGATGAAGGGAATTTTTGTTACAGAAGATTTTCCAGAGACTTCTAAATTGATGACCTACTATTATGAAATTTTTACCAAAGGAGTTACATTCTGGCAAGATATATAAACACAAAAAGTTTAATAATAATAGCAATAATATTATAAAGATAATATACCTTTAGAAGAACATCTGAATCAATTCTTTTACTAAGGTAAATGGCTCCAAAAACCATGTATATTATAATCATCCAAAAATTTCAACCTGGTTTGGTTTTAACTGAACTGAATCAGTTAACATATACCCTATACGGTTTTATATCTCTGTATTTAACAGTGGAGCAGGCAGATCTGCATTTCTGATTTCTCCTTTAAGTATATTAACAAGCTATTTAAAGACACAAACATTATCAAAAAAAAAAAGAAGAAAAAACCAAAAAAGAAACAAAAAACCTAGTAGTAAATACAACACCAACCACAGAGTGAAGGGAAGACTTTCTTGCACCTACGTGCACTGCTGTCAATGCCAGGCAACCTTACCTCACCGTGATAGATCAGAATCTGGAAGAATGTGTCCATGAGAAGAATCCGATCTGCGAGGATGCTGCTGCTATCAAGAAGAACCGGCTAACATGAAGGAGAAAATGAGAAAGGAGGCAGAAGAAAAAATAAATTACTTTAAGACACAAAAGATCTTTCCAGGATCTATTCATTTAAATTTTTTGTTTTAAATTTATATCATATTATTTAAAACCTCTTGCTAATATGAATTCCCATGGCATATTCTAAGTTAATTTTCTGAAAAGTCTCTAAACTGAGGTAACATTTGAAAAATAAAGTCATGAGGAAACTGAGGCTGACGGTGCATCATTGAGTGAGAGGGGAAAGGCTTGGGGTACAGCAAATGTGGGGCAGACAGAAAAATAGGGACTATGAACTGAATTAGTGACATAAGTTTTGGTATCACAAAACATGAAAATGGTAATCGAAGCTAGGGGATTAGATTGCATCACTTAGAGAGAGCAGGAGAACAGAGAAAAGGTTAGAGATAGAGCCCTGGAGCGGGACAACACTTAAGGCCTGAAAGGGAGAAGCCAGCAAAAAGAGACTGAGAAGGACCAGGCAGTGAGCAGAAGGAAAACCAGCAGGAACTGAAAGTGTCAGAGAAGTCGAAAACAAAAAGTTTGCAAGTAGAGTCCTCACTAGGAAAATACCATTGAGAGTTATGGCAAGATGTATAATAGAACACTGGTCGCCTTGATAAGTTGTTTCAGTATGATGATAGGGGCAAGAGTCTGACTAGTATTGGCTGAGAAGAGAATACGAGGTGAGAAAGTGTAGACAACAAGTAACCTACATTCTGAGTTTAGCTGTGAGCAGGACCAGAGAAACGGGGTGGCAATTAGAAAAAATGTGAGGTTGAGAGTTTGTTTTTATTTTAACATGAGTGCTGTTAACACTTCTATGTTAATAAGAATGATCCAGATGGAGAGAAAAATGGTAACTCCAAAAGCAAAGCCTTAAGAAAACAAAGCTGGGGCCAGCCGAGTGGCTCAACTGGTTAAAACATGCGAGCTCTGAGCAACAGAGTTGCTGGTTCGATTCCCACATGGGCCAGTGAGCTGCACCAGAGCTGAGCTATTGCTGAGCTGCCTACTGGCGGCCACATTGCTCAGTGGTTAGAGCGTGCGCTCTTAGCAACAAGGTTTCTGGTTCAACTCCCACATGGGATGGTGGGCTATGCTCACCCGCAACTAAGATTGAACAAGGCACCTTGAGCTGAGTGGCCACGAGCTGCCCACGGGCAGCCAGATGGCAACTGGACTTGGAGCTGAGCTTGCCGCACCCGCCACAACTAAGATTGAAGGACAACTACATGGCTGTTCCCCTTCTCCAATCCCCCAATAAAATCTTTAAAAAAAAAAATGAAGCTAATGGGATTCATAGAATAAATGGAAAGGTTGGAATTTGATAGGAGTAGGCACTAGAGGTGGTGGGATTCCAATTTTCATCTAAACACTATTCTACATTTTCCAGACATCTACAATTTACATATATTACTCTAAGATTTATTTTAAAAAGTTATTTCTGAAACTTTCTTTCCTGATTCAAAGAACTAAGAGACCAAATATATAGCTAGACTAACATATTAAAAATACATTTTTCCTAGAAAAGTACAAACTATGAGATAAGTTACTAAAACAATTGTGATAACAAAACATTTTACCTTCAATTTTTTACAAAATATTAAAGGCACCATTAGAAATCATTAATCAAGACATTATAAATATTCTTTATACTGACTTATCCAAAAGTATTATTTCAAATACACTTTTTAAACATACTTTTAAGTGGTAAAACAGAAAATTTTGACTACAGAATTTTTAAAAATTATTTATTTAATAATAAAGTTAAAATAAATTGGACAGATTATAAGGAGGCTATATGGATACTTTATCCTTTTTCTAAGTATACATCTTTATAATCAACTGTATCTTATATTCAAAAAAGACTAGAGGAAAATGAGATTATATTAAAGCAAGAGGCTTTGTTCAGACACTAAACTCTGGAATAAGCAACAGATTCTAGATTTATCATCCCCTCTAGACACTGTTAAAGACATAAAAATCCGAAGCCCTATAGGATTTGCTCAACCAAATGACTGGACAAAATGATCTTAAAAGTCTCTTCCACCTCATTGTTTCATTATTTTTTTAATGATTTCCTAATATGGCCTAGCATGGTGTCTAGCACCTAATAAGCACTCATATATATTTTAAGTGACTATGTTAATAACTTAAGATTAATTATTCTTGAATTAAATTCTCATTATTTAGTAACTCTATTTCAAGAAAAAGTTTGTTTTCACTTTTTCATGGTATACATCACAGTAACAAACCCATTTTTTTTAAAGCCTCTCTTACCTCTGGCGGTCCACTAAAAGAATATGCATACAGAATAGGCTGAATCATGATGAGAGACTGGGTCAGATCTTGACGCATAAAATGGTGACGATAATATGAACTCTCATCAGGACTATTGTTAAAAACTTGCAAGAAAGGAGACCTTCTTAAATGAAACATAAACTGCAAGATAAAACATGTGAGATAGCTTTTACTGATTTTCGTATTACAATAGGAGTTTACTGTTATAAAAAGCATGTGATTACAACTATTAAATCCACAATAAAACAAGTTATAATAACATTCTAAATTGTATTCCTCAGAATTTTACTCATATTTTGGATACTTGAAAATATAATTCAACAATAAAAAACGTAAAGTATAATAAAAGAGGTGACTCAAAAGAAAAACAAGAATAGCCCAAAACCTCTAGCTCAGATCTAAGTTATTCAGAGGCTGACGCCAGATGGTACATTAATCAGCATTCTTTGTTTTTGTTCCTCATCTCTCTGGCCCCGTCTCTGGGCTTTTTTATTACTACTCATTACCACCACCAAAAAACTGAGAGAACATAAAAATAGATTAACAGATTTTCTACCTTTTGTATAGCTCCCAAAAATTGCACTGGAAAGGGTCTGCATTGGCTTTTTTAAAAAAAGGATTTACATACACTCAACTTGCTATCTCTAAGTAACATTCTCTATCCATTGTTTCATTTCTTCTTTCTCCTTTCACTTTCTCCTCTTCCATTCACTCCCTCATATGAAAGAGATCAGAAAGGGGTAGAGTCGGGCCTGAATGAAGGGCAGCTACGCTGTCCTCTGATACAACACTGAGACTCTGATACAATCAATAGGATAGGCTCCCAAGTACTCCCTCCCATTTTCTGTTACTTCTCTTACCTCCTTCGGTCCTCAGGTCTCAAGTGCCAACCTGTTGCTCCCTTGCCTGGGACTCACTCCACAATTCTCTCCCAAAACATGAAATTCTCCTTGCTTTTCTTTTTGTAATGATCCATAGTGCATTGACAGGCTATCTCATCCCTTTACCACTTCAAGCCATTCCTATTTACTCACAGGAATATGTAACTGGTAAATTTGGGGTTAAATATTGTGGAGATGAAGATCTCCCTTAAATTTAGTCTATGCCACCTTTTACAACATCATCAGGCTTTGAAAACCCAAAGAAAAAAGTATTTCTGGGTTCTCGTTTCTATATCCGGTAGAGGGGAAAAGATGGGATGCCCAGATTTCTCAAAGCATTTAATCAAACACTTGGACTAATGCCCTCCCTCCCTTTCCTGTTAGTTTCTGCTATGAAGAAGAGGCCTGAGAACTCCCAAAACTAACTTTGCCTTTTCCTAGTTCTCCAAAACCTCACTAGAGGTTTAGGAAAGTCTCCCTCTATCATCCAGGAGTTTCTAGGTCACAGATCAATAAAAGATTTTCCAAAAAATGTAAGAGAACCTCTAAAAAGAAAGCTGAGGCTATACACAAAGTTTTCATGGTCATAAATTAGAATTTCCACATCTCAATATTAATCATCTTCCCAGGCTAAGCTAAAATGCCACCTCTTCTGTAAATATATATCAACCCATCCATTTGGAAGGATTCCTTTAAGTTTCCTTTAAATTCTGTGTATCTGTCACAGCAGTCCTCACTTTCTGTTATGTGTTGTTTATGTATATTTCAGATCTCACCCTTTAAACTGAAAGCTCCTTGAAAATGGGATTCATGTTAGTCATCTTTACTCTCCTGCAGTTCCTTGCACACAGTACTTAGATGAATAATTAATTACCTGTTACTCATTATATAAACAACCTACACTTTTCAAAACATCTATCAAAACAACAGATAGAGGGATAGATCCCAAGCGAAAAAGGTTCTATAAGATAAATCAAATTAGCTTATTTTCTATTTATCTGGTATGTCCCCACAAAACCGTTCTCAGATGATGATACCATGCTGAGATTAGCTGACTGGTAAAATTACTTCAGATGAAGTTCTTTTGGTACCAGTATAATTGGATCCCTTATATCAGATGGAAAGTTAATCTGCCCTACGACTAATTCTATTCCACAGAAGGATTCTAGCGTAAATTTCTATTCACCACAAACAAATGACTATTTGCAAGGCTAACATAAAAATACTACATACTTTTTTCAATGACTACTCACAGCACAATATTAATTTCTTAAGCTATCCCAAAACTTACCTAACCAAAGAATAACCCAATATGATAGATTCTCTAAGATGAATAACAAAAGACAAAATGACAAGAAAAATGAGACCCTATGCTATTATTATTGTCAACACAAAGAAAAAACGTAAAACTTTTCTCTACTCACCTGTGGATAAAGGGAGAAAGTTTCTGAAAATCTGAAGGAACTTGGATCATCTTTGTGATACTCTCCAAATTTCTGACACTAAATAAAATACAACATGTTAGTAATATACTTCCTGGCAGAGAATTAAAACTGTTGCCTATACATATTCCATTTTAAAAAGTTGTTTCCCTTTAGGAGGCAAATACTTAATATAGAATAAAATCAGATTATTTATAGACTTACCAAGAGACTGGTTACAACAAAGAAATACATTTGAAAATCAAAAGTAAGTAATACCTGCTCCAATACGGTAACAATTCATCTTTACATGTTTGGATTTTTTTAAACCATCTATCTGACAGCTCTTAAATAATGAGCAAAAGAGCTCAACATGTGCCCCTAATACTGTACCTAAGAAAAGACAACAGCCAATGACAGGAAGAAGATACACTATCAAAATATCATAGTGGATACAAAAGCAAGTTGCTGTATGAAATTTGGCACACCAGAAACAATACCAAAAAAAAAAGGACAGATGAAGGAAAAGAAAATCAGAGACTGACAGTTAGACTGGTAAATAAAGAAGAAACACAAAGGCAGAATTAGAAGGAAATAAAGAAGACACATACTTTGGCAAGAGAGAAGAAAATCCTCTATGACAATGGGACCAAAAGCATCTAAATAATTGAGATAATCCACATGAAAAAGTGCTTAGCACAATGACTAACACTAAGCACTCAATAAATGTTAGCTTCCTCTCCTTGTTCTTGAGCCAAATCTCTGCTCTGAAAAGTTTTTATGTAACTGGTCTATTTTCTGACAATGTTTATCATAGTAGTTGCATATGATCAAGGGAAAAAATAACAAAGGACTCACTGCTACAAGTAGTGGCGAACTTTTGCTGGAATGTTCAACTATATCATTTATGTCTTTATCTATGCCTTACAGAGCACATAAAAAGGCATAATTGATTTGATCATATTTTGGCTTCCAGGAAGTGTCATTTCAGAACCAGTTATCCAAAAGATAGAAATGCTACAGTTGTAGAGTGAATCCTCAGAAAACAGATCTTGGTATCTGGGAATAATTCTGGCAGTCTTCAATGCCCCCAAATGATACATCACTGACGAAACTTATAGATTAAGATAATAATCTTCACTGTCCAATATCACAGCCACTAGCTATATGTGACAAGTTAAAGAAATTAAAACTAAATAAAAATTCAGTTCCTCAGTTACATTAGCCATATTTCAAGTGCTCCACAGCCACATGTGGGTAGTAGTTCCATATGGACAATGCAGACTACAGACATTCCCACCACTGCAGCAAGTTCTCTTGGACAGTGCAGATCTGAAATATCAAATATACTGGAAAAGATCTAGAATACCAAATACACTGAAAAGATTTTGTGAAAAAGCCAACATGTCATACATTATTCAGAACTACTGATCACATTATATTAGATATACACATTTTAAATTGTGCCTAGGAGTCTGTTAAAATAAAGAATTAGGCAAATCTGATATTATGGTTAATGACGATAACAAAAAGACTGCAGACTGTTTTTTGGTTTTTTTTAGCTGAGCCATCCTGCTACCTGTTGGCAGCTCAGCAGCAGCTCAGCTCGGGCCGGGCCTCGAACCGCTGTTGCTCAGAGCTCAAACTCTTGAGTGAGCTCTTAACCAACTGAGCCACTCAGCCGGCCCTAAAGATTGCAGCTTTTATGCTTGGATAACTGGGGATATCTAAAAGGTTAATTTCCAGAGTGGGATGTATCTGATACTTACGTCCAAAATTTTTGCTTTTATTATAAACTTTTTTTCATGTCATTAAATACTCTATTGCTGCATTTTTAATGGCTGACTAGCAATCCACTTATTGATATATATGCCATAACTATCTTAACTAATCTCTCATTATTAGCATTTACATTTGTCCTGTTATAACTTTAGGATAGATTCTTAGAGTCAGAATTTCTGAATAAAAGGTAGTTTTGAAGGTTCTGATATATATCACCAACTGCCTTCTATATATAAGGTTATACAGATGTTTACAAAGGTTGTACAGATTCATACGCCAACCTACAAGCTATGAAGCTGTCCATCTCCCTGAATACTAACCAACTCTAAATATTATCCTGTTTTTGTCATGTGTACCAGTTTGACAGATAAAAATTGTTGTCTTGTTCTATTTTGCTACTTTGATTATAAGATTGGCAATATTTTCATGTTTACTAGTCACTTGCATTCCCTCTTTTGTTAATTCCTTATTCATGACCTTTGCTCATTTTCTGCCCAAATTTTATTGATCTGTAAAAACTTTTACACATGAAAAACTTCACATTCTATCCTATAACAATAATAACAAATGATATAGTCTATACTTTACCACAGATAATATAAAATTTGTATAGTATACACAGACATACATTTCTAATCTTTGAGCTACTTCCTAAAAATTTTTCTGAACACTTAACAAATGCCCTAGCATTAATTTATCATTAGAAGTAGTCCTTATTTGCAACCCAGCCAAAACACTAAAACAAATGAGAAAAAAATCTAAAGCATAAAGGACCTACCAAAGATCTACTGTTTGAGTTATTCAGAAGTAATATGATTAGGCAGACAAACCAACAATAAGTTTTCCTAAGGTAAATGACAACACTACAAGAAGGCTAGTCCTGCCTTTAATTCAGTAATTATTTATGCATCCAAGCAGCCCTGTAAAAGGACCCTAAGGATCACAGTCTCAGCTCCGTAAGAAAATGGTAATGGTAAAAACAGGACAACTAAAGGGCTTGGTCCCACTGGTGTAGCAAGAAAAAACCTGGCTGGGGTCAATTCTGCAAGGAGAGTCCTGAGAGTCTTAAACAAGAGAGAGCTCCTGGGCCAGGTCTAATCAGATGAAGTGTTTATCTACTGGGTTAGCTGCACAGCTAAAGGAAGAATACAATTTGTAGTTAGTGGGTAAACCAAAGGTCAAAGATGAAAAAAACTCAAATATCAATTTTAAGTTGTAAGAGTCAACAGAAAGGCCAAGAGTCAAAAAGGTAAAGAGCAGACCCATGAAAGTGGACACCAAAGTGACCCAAACAAGAGACAGAATGGAGGTGGTAAATGGTGCGTTGGTGCTGGTACCCTAAGTGATGCTGACCACAGGGAACAAGGGCTTATATTAAAGGTGTCAGGAGCAAATGTGGTACCAGCACTAATGTGGCCCTATAATGCCCACTATCTAAAAATCAGTTCTTAAATAGATGTTTATTTTTCATTTAAATTACTCTGAATCGTCAAGGAAATAAAACAATTATATTCACTATGCCAAATTAAAGCAAAGAAGTTTGTTAGTATAATTTCATAGACTTTTCACTAGGAAAAAAACTTAGAAAAATGTAGCACCTAAAGATATTAACCCTTTCTCTATTTGTGTTGCTATCATTGTTATAGCTGAAAATTCAACAGTACGGAATCAGTACAAAAAAAATGAGACTATACCTATTAGCTACTTAGAATAACTTCTTATAACTAGGATTCATTTGTCATCACCTGAAGCTTCACTTCAATTGTACACTAATTTGAATCAATCAATTAAAGAAAAGACCATAAAGATCACATTCTCACCACTTTTACCATCTATGAGGGGTTCTTACTTACTGGGCTTTCTATAAAAGACTGAATTTTCAAACAATGGTTTTTTGAGCTTTGTGTAGCATGTGATACCAGCCACAGTGATGGACAGCTGCCCAGTTATCCTGTTAGCAATGTCTTTAGGAATCATCCAGTCCCACTTGGCAGTATGCAGTAGGACTGTGCTCACTTAGATAACTTCTTTTTTAGTTTTTCCCACAAGGGAGTCCACAGACAATCGGTGAAAGCTGACTTGCGCAGGAAGCAGCGCAGTAATCTGACAACATCAGCCTCTCCCTCTCAAATGACCTGCACCAACTTCCTCTTATACACAGCTGCCAACTGACTCAGGAGAACAGACAAGCTCTACTGCTCTGACAGAAGGTCAGGGTAAGTCTCATCATGCCATGACTCACCTGTCCTCTACCATCAACAGCCTTGCTGCTGCTGGAAATGCTGCACTCTGCAGAATGTGTAGATTAGGAATGAAATATACTGTGAGGTTTCTGTTCACTGTGTGTCTTTTGCAAGTATTTCATTTCGTTATTTACAAGGCCATTCTAGTTTATATTTTATTAGTGTTTGTGTTTTACAAGCATGTCAAACAATTTCTGAAAGTGAGGTGTCAGGTAGGAGAGAAGGATTCTGGAAATAAGCCTACAGAGAATTCTGAAGAATTACAATCTGCTGAGTCATTTCATTATTCTCATGCAACAAGGGACACAGAAAAAGTCCAATTTCACAATGAAAGCTACTTATCAGTGGTTTTTACATGGGCTGATAACCCAAGTCATACCATTCAATTTTGTGTCATATGTGACTATCTACAAATGCAGTAACAGCTCCAGAAAAAACGGAAAAGCACTTTACTATGTACAAATCACAGCCATTTGACAAATAAAAGTGCTGATTCCTTCAAACAGCTTTTAGAACCTCAAAACAAAAAAGCATTTGTTAAGGTCACATTCAGTGAGAAGGCTCAGGAAGCTATTTCAGAGCACAGCTTATCACCCAGAAAAGAAAAAGGCACACAGTTGGTGAGAGCCTAATAATGTCAACATGTAAAATTACACTAAGTAAAATGCTGGGAAAACATACAATCTGAGACACTTGAAAAAGTTCCACCTGAAAACAATATAAGTGAATGTATTGATGACTTGTCACATGATGCTGAGAGCTTTATGTAATTAGCTGAAAAATAACAGCTTCTCTATTCAGGCTGATGAGTCAACAGATTTCACCAATGTCATGTCAAGTTGCTAAATGACAATTCAAGAAAAGTTTCTGCTGCCCTAGGCAAGCAAAGATCAAAATGTTTTATCTTCCTATCTGGAAACAAAAGGCCTATCTTGGAAGAACTGTGTTGGCATTTGTACTGATGGTGTACAATCAATGGTTGACTCTATGACAGGTTTTACGTCTCTGGTTAAAAAGAAAAAGGTATACTGATACTGTCGTAACACTGCTTTCTTCACAGATAGGCGCTGGTAGAAAAACACTCTTGGAGATTTTTCTGAATGATGAAATGAAATGAAAAAAAGCTCTGAATGATGCTATAAAAATGGTTAACTTTATTAAACAAAGACTAGTTCACTCAGGAATGTTTTAAAAACTACAGGAAAATCTAGACACAGAGCACAAAAGTCTCCTGCTACAAACAGAAACCCGATAGCTTAGCAGAGAGTTCTCAACAGGGTGTTTGAGCTAAAGGCTCAGCTAAAGAATTGAAGAGCTTTCAAGGAAACAATAAGCCAGAGTTTGCTGAGTAAAATTGGGACATTTAAGGAAAAGAACTTAAGCATTCTAGGTCATGATGTAAGTAATAGGTTCCTGAAATGTTAACCATCATTATCAATAACTTTACTAACACACACTTTGGTAATCTAGATTTGGATAATCAAGACTTGTCTGTATTTTTCTATAATTGTATTATGTATAATTTTTATATCCCAATGAATTTCTCTTAAAAATTTCCACTAAAATGAAAACAGAAAACTAAAACCATAGCAGTGAAGAAAACTATGTTAAAAAAAAACAACAGGAAAAACAGTTACAGTGGTTTAGTAAATCATTTGAAAATAATTTGGTACATCCAAAAGAAAAAAAATAATAAGTTACATAACTGTCACTTTCATTTTAAGGAAAAAAGGCATTGTAGTTCACTGGAAGAGATCAGTAAATTCTACTATTCATTATTATGCCTTTCTCAGCAACTTGACTAGAAGTCCCTCATTCAGTTACATTGTTAAGTACTTTGAAAGAGATTATCAGTATTTACTACAAATAAAAGCAGAAGAATTTAGAAAAGCACGATGTTCACTTCTTACCAGTCGAATGAGCTGTCTGTCCAGCCACCTAAGCACATCTGGTCCTTCCTCTGTTTCTGCTCTATATATTGCCAGTCTGGCCATGAGAATGGCAGCTGCCTCCTGGTCAAAAGATGCAGCAATGTTTTGGATTTGAGTTTGCGCATCTGCCCAGCTAGAGGTAAGAAAAAGCACAGAAATGCCGATGAATAATTATATTCAAATATCATATTGGGTTATTCAAGTATCATATTGGGTTGTCGGAAGTCATGACATATTTTTTTATTTTCGTTGCAAAAATGCGTCATGATTTTTCCGACAACCCAATAGTTGGCTATCATATACTGTAGATTTAAATTAAAAAGGTACAGAAAATTACTCCAATATTTCAAAATTCCAATATTACCTAGAAAAAATAACATTTAAAAAAAAATCACTAACAGCAGTTTCATTATACCATTATTTTTCAGAAAAAAATGTATCCAAATCTAATGAAATCTTCTACAGTAACTGTAAAGGTAGATCTCTATACTTTTTTTTTTTTTTAAGATTTTATTGGGGAATTGGGCGAGGGAAACAGCGTTGGGGAATCAAGGAAGGGGAACAGACAGATAGACAAATTGCTGTGCTGTTCTTCAGTCTAGTTGTGGAGGACGTCGCTTCACTGGCCCATGTTGGTATGATCATTGTGCTCTGCCCAGGTGAGGCAATCGGTCGCTGGTCATTGGTCGGCCGCTCACTGCGGCTCACAGCAGCTCTCCCCGGCTGCCAGCCGCTCATGCTGGCTGCCAGCCACTCATGTAGCTCATGGCAGCCCACTGTAGCCCCACTGCAGCTTACACCGTCGCCGGCGACTCACAGCAGCCCAGCTCCAGGTGGAGCTGTTGTTCATCATCTTAGCTGTAGAGGGCGCAGTGTCACTGGCCCTTAATGTGGGATTCGAATTACTGCCCTGCTGCTCAGAGCTGGTGCTCCCAAGCGAGCTCTTAACCAACTGAACCACTTGGCCAGCCCTCTCTATACTATTTTTAAAACACGAAAATTTTTACAAATAAAAAGAGTAGGTTTGTGCACGTGCATAGACACACAAGTCTATCAGAGTTTAAAATTTTATTTCTTTAATTTTGTAAAAGCAGAAATATAAAAATATAAAAATAAAAGTTTTCTCACAAGTAATTCTCATTTACTAAATTGGAAAATGAATAAAATATATGAATATTTTTTCTCATTGGTTTGGTATTTAAGATTTTATTGGGGAATTGGGGAAGGGGACTAGCCATGTTGTTGTCCTTCAATCTTAATTGTGGAGGGCACAGCTACCTCAGCTCCAAGTCCACTCGCCATCGGCCACCCGTCGGCAGCTCGAGGCCACTCAGCTCAAGGTGCTGTGTTCAATCTTAGCTGCGGGTGGGCGTAGCCCACCATCCCATGCGAGAGTCAAACCAGCAACCTTGTTGTTAGGAGCACATGCTCTCACCAGCTGAGCCATCCTGCCACCTGTTGGCAGCTCAACGGCAGCTCAGCTCGGTTGCAGCTCACTGGCCCATGTGGGAATCGAACTGGCAACCCTGTTGCTCAAGAGCTCACGCTCTTAACCAACTGAGCCACTCAGCTGGCTCCTGATTTGTCTTTTTTAATGAGCTGACAAGAGCTAGTTTACATTTTTATATCAATTTTTTAAAATAAATTTATTAGGGTGACATTAATAAAATTGTAGGTTTCAAGTGTACAATTCTATGTCATCTGTATATTGTGTGCTCACCACCCAGAGTCAATTCTACTTCTGTCACCATGTATTTGACCCCCCCCTTCCCCTCTCCCACCTTTCTCTCTGGTAACCACTAAACTGTTGTCTGTGTCTCTGAGTTTTTGTTTCTCTTGTTCATTTGTTGCTTTCAGTTTTATATCCCACATTTGAGTGAAATCGTTTGGTTCTTGACTTTTTCCATCTGATTTATTTAGCTTAACATGGTATTCTCAAGATCCATTCACTGTCTTTAATTCAATTATTAGTGATAAAAATTACATAATTAAAATTACTATGTATTATTTTTTCTCCTTTAATGCACTGACTAAAACTAACTAAAAATTAGTAAGTGAAAACTTTAGTCTAAGGGATTAATTTGATATTACGTATAAAATTGCAGTAATTTCTTAAATTAACATGTTCTATAAATCCAATCCAATTAAACCGATCCTGGGTAGACCCAGCAATAGTTTTGTTTGTTTAACATTTCAGAGACAGCATTTTGTAATACTTCATCTGATCTTGGTTCTAAAGTGCCTCACTTTAAGCAAGTCTGGCAATTCTTACAGACTTCTTAAAAAGCTGGACCACTTTTACATGACTCAAAGATGTAACAAGTGATCCCAAAGGAATTCAGGCAGTGACACATTCAAAATTCTTCTCTCTTCTTCCTCTAATTTAACTTGTTTTCAAATAGACAAATAACTTTTTAATATTTTCCAAATAACTGATAACTGTGAATTATCTCAATCAATGCCTAATTATTCCCTTTTGGAAACTGAACTACATCAACAAATACAGGAAATAACTATGTCATACAAAATACTACCCTATAATATTAACTGTTAAGAGACTTCATCTTTTGTGGTCTCAACCAGTGCTAGTCAAAGTGTGGTATGTGAACCCAGTGCCAGTTCGCCATAAGAATAAAAACTGAGAGTAAATGTTTAGAAACTGTTTTTGTTTTTCCTTTTTTTTTTAAAATTGGGGAATTGGAGGAGGGGAACAGTGTTGGGAAATCGGGGAGGGGGACCAGCAAAGTTGTTGTTCTTCAGTCTTTGTTTTGGAGGGCGCCAGTTGCCATCTAGCTGCCCAGTGGCCTCTAAGCTCAAGGTGCTGTGTTACAATTTTAGTTGTGGATGGGCATAGCCACCATCCCATGTGGGAGTCGAACCAGCAGCCTTGTTGTTAAGAGTGCATGCTCTATCCACTGAGCCATCCAGGCAGCAGCTCAGCTCCAGGTGCTGAGTTCAGTCTTAGTTGCGGGCAGGCGTAGCCCACCATCAAACAGGCAACCTTGTTGTTCGGAGTAAGTGCTCTCACCAGCTGAGCCATCCTGCCACCTGTTGGCAGCTCAGCTCGGGCACAGCGTCCTCGCCTATGTAGGAATAGAACTGGCGGCCCTGTTGCTCAGATCTCGGGCTCTTAACCAAATGAGCGACTCAGCCAGCCCTGGAAACTTTTAAGTGACTGAAGAAAATAATTTTAAGTCTGATGAATCTAATAAAAATTGGGATTTGTATTGGGTTGTCGGAAAAGTCATAACATTTTTCTATGTTTTTCGTTGCAAAAATGCATCGTGACTTTTCTGACAACCCATGATTTTGAATTACTTTTAAAATTTCATTTTCCTAGTACAATAATTCATTTTATTGCATTTAATAAAAATATTAGTCTCCAAAAATATGTAGTACCCAGTCTACAAAGCAGACGCCAAATAAAGGTTTCATAAATGCAGTAAATGACGAATAACACTTGAAAAAATACACAATGATAAAAGCTGCTAAAAACTTTATTATCACTTGAAAAGTAATGCTATTAATTATTGTGCTATTATTATATATAATGGATCATATATATTATTATTGCCAATTACGGGATAATGTTTATTAGTTTTTCTCCTCCACTCAGGGGAATAAGTAAATAAAAGAATATTTTAAGAATATGTCTTAGGGTGGCGGGCCGAGTGGCACGTTGGTTAAGAATTGGCTTGAGATGCCAATTCTGAGCAGCAGAACCACAGTTCAGATCCCACATATGAGGGCCAGTGACACTGCCCTCTACAGCTAAGATGGTGAACAACAGCTCCACCTGGAGCTGGGCTGCCGTGAGTCGCGGGCAATGGTGTAGGCTGCAGTGGAGCTGCAGTGGGCTGCCGTAAGCTACCGTGAGTGGCTGGCAGCCGGCATGAGCAGCCGGCAGCTGGAGTGAGCTGCCAAGAGCTGCCGTGAGCGGATATCCAGGAGCTGGTGACCAATCTGCCTCACCAAGGAAGAGTGCAATGATAATACCAATATGGGCCAGTGAAGCAACATCCTCCACAACTAGACTGAAGAACAAAAGGACAGCACTTTGTCTGTTCCCCTCCTCCAATTCCCCAATAAAATCTTCAAAAAATAATATGTCTTAGCAATAGTTTTTTAAATTGCTTTGAAGTTCTTAGCAATAAATATTTTAGCAAATAAGTTGGGCTAGAAAGAAATAAAATAGTATTAGTCATAAATGTTCATTTTCTAGCCATGGATGTCACTCAAAATAGGAACCCAGCTTGGGAGCACAACCCAGAATGGTTTTGATATGTAAATTAAATCTCTAACAAATACAACTTACTTCCTCGCAATGGTGGTCACTCGAATGCGTCTCTGACCACTTGAATGCTGATACTGAGTCACAAACTGGATTGCCCCACGCCCTCCTTGAGGAATTGGAGCATTATGCTGTGTAAAAGTAAAAGTAAAAACTAAACAAACTATTACTATTATGTTGTTGTCATACAGTCACCGGCTGCATATCCTGGGACTAATAGAATTCATTCTAATATTAATTAGAAGGATGTTTTTTACAGTGCATGTAAAACAGCTGTGATTTGCCACATAAGAGAGAAACGGACTTAGGAGAAGAGGGAACAATGATGAAGGATAAGAAAAATAAGTCCAGCTAGGAAATCAATTTCAAGTAATATATAATTCAGAGGGATATGAAAGAACAAAATGAAGGGAGAAAAGTAAAGAAATTAACAGATAAAGAAAGGTGTAAGTGAGGCAATTGTGCCTAATAGTAATTGGATAGAGAAACTGAGCTAAGTCCTACTCCTTTATGTATATAAAATGAAAACGCAACTTTTAGGAAGAGAATCACATAATGAACAGATGACCAACAGAAAACTATTAATGAGAAGACACCAATAATAATATTAGTAGTAGTGATCCTCAGAAAGAAATAGCAAATGGTCAATACGAAAACTTTTCATGCCCTTTGATAATAGTTATTTTTGCTTTGGTTTTTTTGTTTATTCGTTTTGGTCAATAACAGCCATTATCTTTTTCACAAATTTTAATTGTTAAAAAATAAATCTTGTACCTGTCTGTCTTAGGAAGGCTGACTATTAATAGTTGGTGGTTCATTTTATGCCTAATAGCTACTGAAATATAAGTCAATAATTTATACAATAAGTCATTCTTTAATATGATAATTTCCTCCTGTAGCAGAAAAAAAATCTTTCCAAATATTGGAATCTTTACCTTCCAATTGTTTCCTATGGATTTTGAGATATTAAACTTTCTTATAGGCCTCATGTATCATTACATATACATACCTTGTAGCAATTAGGAGGAGCTAGATACTGAATTTAAAAAAGCACAGCTAGAACAAAATTTAAGATTTTACTTATGCTTCAATTTTAAATTAAAAAAAAGAAAACTGAGACTAAAAGTTGGGTTGCCCAAGATTGGGCATTTGCAGGTTTCCTGACATCTCTTTCTATTACAGTATGTCCTCCCACAAAGGAGTATAAGTTTGAGAAATAGAAAATTACAAACAAAAACTGCAAGAGAGAGTAAGCTTTGGGTCATATTTACTATTGGAAGGAAAACTATGAAATATCCATGGCCTAAATTTAGTACTTGTTCAACTATACATTGCAATATTCAAATATAAAAAGCCATACCTGATTGACAACCTCAAAATATATAGCTAAGGTTGTAGTGGGACTAAGTCCACATATCTTCCATTGACAAGTGCCACCTGTTCCTATCTCCTGTAAAAATAAAACATACTATGTTTGAAAGCTAGACAACACAATTTATTACTATAATATATACGAAGGTGAAAGAGGGGAGGGTAAAAACCTCCATTAAGGGAAAAAAAAAATCTATCTCAAATTTCTAACTAATTCACTGAACGTTAAAAGCTTAAGATTTTTTAAGATCATATAAAATATATATCATGAAATAAACTTAAGCAATTTCTACACAATAAAATTATAAAATAATTCAAATTCTTGCTAAGGAAGTTACAAAAGTATTGATGTAAGTTCCTCATATTGTAGACTTTAAAAGTATATACCATTTAATGCAGTAATTACAACTAACATTATCCTTCTATCCAACTATTTGATCTGTGTAAAGAGACATTGATTTAACACATAATATATGCACATATGAATACAGGTTCTCTGAATCAGAACTGCATAATTTAAGCAATCTGATTTCAAAAAAAACTTCTAAGATATAAATCTTAACCACGTAAACTGCTTAAAATTAATTTTTAACTGCCATCTTAAAGATAATTACCCACTTTGTTATTTGTTCCATCATCCTCTCTACAGCTACAGTACCTAATTCTACCATGTTTAAATGTATTCTACATCTACCAGATGGAATAATAAAAAAGAAATGAAATGAAACTTAAATCTAGCTAATTTGGTTAGTTTGTTATAAATTCTAACAAAAAGAAATTAGGAATCAATTTTGATTTTTAGAAGTCTCCAAGCTTCCAAATCACAGCTGGGTTTTTTTTAGGCACAATGGGGCAAGGAATAACTTAGGAATAAAAAAATAGAAGGCTGGTGACAGTACAAGAGTTTTAATTTAGGGGTGGGTGGGAAAAAGGATATTGGGAAAGAGCTACCACAAACAGAGCTATACCGATGGTGGCTGAATCACAATCTACTGAAAAACTTAGTCCACACAATAATTTTAAAAGAAATGTGGTAGGCTGCCACCCCAGGTCTCTGTTGGTTCTGTCCTGAAAATTAAATTGTACTTTCTTTTTAGAATAAAGGTGCCTTACATTTTCAGACACACAGGGTCCTTTAGAACTGAGAGACACACAGGGTCCAATAGCTCCTGAAACCTTTATTTCCCTTGAGGTCTGCAAAACAAGAACACAGTATGCTTTGGTGTGCTCAAAGATAAGCGCAAACATTTGACTATAAGTATATAAGAATAAAGATATTATTCCACATTTAAAACTCAAACATCAATGAAAATATACCAGTGTTAAAACATAATCCATCAGTGAGCACTTCTGTGTTAACTCCCAAATTTAAAATCTAGCCCTGACCAATCTTTAAGTCTCTATTTCCAGCTGCCCAGAGGAGGTCTCCATTTGGGAATTCACCCTCAATTCAATATCATACCATGTCCACAAGCCATATGTCCTAATCCAAAAGCTTTGACACCATCTTCTATTTTTCTTCCCACAGAAAAATCTGTCACCAAGATTGGTTTTTTCCAATCTCCACTGATACTAAAATTTAAGCTATCATTACCTTCTACCTAAAAAAATTAGAAAGCCTAAACTCAGTTTTCTTACTTGAGGTTGTTTTTCCTGACAAATCCTGAATGCCACCGTCAGACAAATTCTACCCAAAACACTGTTCTTTATTAACCTACAATGGCTGCTTTTGTTTACACATGCATCTCCAAACTACAATCTATACACAACTCAAAACTACTCCCCTTACATTCCAGTGCAAGCCATTCACTCTCACTGGGTAGTTTTCCTCAACATACCACACTGATTCTCACCTCTGGGCCTCTCCTCACAATAACTAAAACATAGTCTCTTTAACCAACATAAATGCTGCCATCTTTCAAAAACCAGTGTAAGTCACTATAAAACCATTTATCTTCTAAGATAAATTGTATCTTGCATACATTTTCTTCCCTAAACCTTTATAGCACTTTTATAATCTACTGTTATTTCATCCTATCACATGTGTGACTCTTGTCTTTCTATCAAGACTAAGTTTCTTCATAAGAAAACCTGAGCCTTAGATATCCCTTGAGATCTCTACAATTTCTTAGTTTAATGCTAGGCATACAGCAAACATTCAATAACATACCAAGATTAACAAGAAATATTTAATGAAATTCAAAATCAATACACTTGTAACTAACACTTAACCTTTTGGATTTTAAAACTCAAATTTGAAATGAATGACAGAACTGAATAGTATCAACAACCTACCAACCATAAAACAATACTGATTATCCAAACAGAATAGAACAAGTTTCTCTTAAGTTAGATACACACCAACTCCTATAATTAAAAGTATCCAGCACTAACATAAACAAATTTTGCACTAAAAAAGATCAAATACACTTAAGAAGTTAAAGAGTTAAAGATAATTTTACTTATCTAATGTCTTTTCTAACAATTATTCAAAAATGCTCAAAGAAAATTTCATTGTACATTTATTTAATAATGACACATTTTTCTAATGAACAAAATCTCTAACTCTGGGTTTCAATATAAAATAACCACTATTGGGCCAGCCAAGTGGCGCATTGGTTAGAAGTTGGCTTAGGACGCCAGCTCTGAGCAGCAGGGCCCCGGTTCAGATCCTACATTAGGGCCAGTGACGCTGCGCCCTCTACAGCTCATATGGTGAACAACAGCTCAACCTAGAGCTGGGCTGCCGTGAGTCGCCAGTGATGACGTAGGCTGCAGTGGGGCTGGCCAGCAGCGGGCATGTGCTTTCATGAGCTGCCGTGAGCCACCATGAGCAGCCGTCCAATGGCCGGCGAGCGACTGCCTCAGCTGGGAAGAGCACAGTGATAATACGAACATGGCCAGTGAAGCAATGTCCTCCACAACTAGACTGAAGAACAAAAGAACAGCAACTTGCCTGTTCCCCTTCCCCGATTCCCCAACACTGTTCCCCTCCCCCAATTCCCCAATAAAATCTTTAAAAATAAAATAAAATAACCACTATTTTTAAAGCATATATTGAAATTGATTATTAATGGTATTTTAAAATTATGATCAAACCTATAAATTTCTCTTGAACATACCACATGTGTCAAGTTTTGGTTCTTACCTTTATTTCTAATGTACCACCAAAGCCCATTTTAAACTGTCCATGCACATCTTTGGTAAAGACTCTTTGAAAAGTTTGCTTGAATAAGGAAGTGTTGAAAGAGTCACCCATTACCATGTAGCCTCTGCATGGAAAGAACAAAAAACAATGTATGTGACACAAGTAGTGAATCCATGTGTTAAAACCAAAAAAGTAAATTACTTCTCAGTTCTACTAACAAATTTTAAAGATATTTCCCAAATGGTGCTACATTATCATTAATTTTAAAAACTCAAATATATAAGAATATCCCCACCGCACAAATAATCTCAATCCTGAGGGTACCTGAGTGCCCCTAATATTTGCATCTGTCCTCAGTAATTTTAAAAAATTCATTTTTAAATAGATAATATATTTACACATTACAAAATTCAAAAGATGCAAAAGCATACACAGTAACACGTGTCTCCCCTATCCCAGCTACCCTGTTCTCCATACTGGGGAAAATAACTGACAGTTTACAGCATGCACTATCATTCTTAAAAACAAATATATATATGTGTGTATAGGTGCACACAAGTATATTGTCTCTGTGTGTGTTATCTCAAACTTATTTTTACAACCAGTGAATGAGAATAAAGAGATACTGAGTAAGCACTTTCACTTTATACTACAATAATATACCTTTTAATTTGTTTCAATAAGGATGTACCTATTTTAATTTTTTTAAAGCTTTAAAAAACATGAACTTTCAAAAACTACTCTGAGATACTATTTCTTCTCTGACAGATGAACAAAAATCAGTTTGACAACATATTCTGCTGGTGAGGCTGTGGAAGCATAGGCACTCAATTCATTGCTGATAGAAATGCAAACTGGTACAGTCCCAAGGCAGGGGAACTTGACAATATCGAACAAAATTACATAGATGTATATTTTCTCCTTAAGCTAGCCACCCCACTATTAGGAATCTATTCCACAGATATTCTGGCAAAACAAATACAAAAAGCAAAATATATGCACAAGGCTATTCACCGAAGCACTAGTTGTAATAATAGAAGATTGGAAACAATCCAGATGACAATCTATTAAGAGGCTAGTTGAATAAAATATGGTACATCCACACAATGGAGTCATATACTGCTGTAGACCAATTTCCAGGATATAATGAAAAATGGAAAGTGGGTGAAGATATGTAGAATTTTCTATTTACATAAAAAGGATACATACACATGTATGTAACATACAAATATTTATATATATTTATATATATATTTAAAACATTTCAAGTAGTTTTTAAACAAAACAATCAAAAATTAAAACAGGCAAAATAAAACTGATGTGCTATAATTAACGGTAGTTTTAGTTTTGATAATGCTAAATCTTGATTTATGTTATCTCTGAGCTACTATAGATTATATCTTTTTAAATTTTGTGTTCTATTTATTTGCTACTGGTATATAAAAATATAGTTGGATTTTGTACATTGACCTTGACCTAGAAGTCCTGACAAGTTAATATATTAATTCTGTTTGTATGTAATTTGTATTTAGATCCTTTTGTTACCGGCCAACTGAGTATCCCTCCCACTACTGAGAAACTTTTAAGTTTTCTTTCCTGTAAGTATGTTACATATAGACATGTTAAGTCTTCTCCCTCATTTCTTAGTTTCTTAGCTCTTGGTTTTGATTACTTTTCTAACCAGTTTGTAAATCCTAGACTAAAGATTGCTCCTAGCCTGAATCCTAGAATTCTCCTATCCCCCTACTTCAGATAACTACTTGAAAGCCTGTGACTTCCTAATATCCCCCAGGCCAGTAAACCTAACAATTCTTTCCAAACCCATTCTGGTCCCAGACAATTGATGCACCTGAGTGACAGGCTGAATGGCCACAGGCTTTATGAGAGCTAACAGATTAATTAAAATCTATTTTTCCTTATTCAGGGAGCTTGGGGATACAGAGGATACCCCAACAAGATTGCCAGTCACAACCAAAGAAGCCAACGCGGTCTTCCAGGCGGAGCTCGAGACCCCTTCCTCTCATCTGAGATCAGCTAGGGTGAGAGTTCCGTGAATCCCCCAATAGGCAGGGACAACTCTACGCCCCAGCCCAGCAGGAAGCAGATACAGAAGAAGAGACCTCCTGTCCCTCAGCTTCCCATAGAGATTTTATGGGGATCACGTCTCTCAAAGAGAAACCTAGGCAGGAAGTTAGAGGCAGGCATTGGGTCTCTGCATTCCTGCACGTCCCACAGAATGTGACCGCCTGGTGGTGACCTCCACTTACCACCCAAAGTTTCTTTTCATTTTAGCTATCTACCCCAGAAACAAATGGGTGCAAAATGCCCAACTAGATCAGACCAGTCACTTGCACCTGTGCAGTACCTCTTGTTAATTACGGGTGCCAATCAAGTGGTCCCATGCCCAGAGGGGAACAGCCCATTCTAGAGAAAGGGGGTAAAAACTCCAAGTCCTGGGAAGTCCACCCTTTTTTTTTTTTTTTGGATGCCTTCCCCTTCTTGACCGCTTCTTCCATTTTTTACCTCTTTCCTTTCTTTTCGAGCCTTTTTGGGCCTCGCCTTTGCACTTGACCCGCTCCAAACTCTTTGAAATGTACTATCTCTTCGAATAAACTACTTTTTCAGTACTTTACTCTGGCATCTCATTCAATTCTTTGTTCGAGTTGCCAAGGTCCTGGACTTTGCTCCGAGAAGGGCCCACTCTCTGACAACACTTTCAGATTTTCTACTAATACAAACATGTCATTTGTGACGATCTGTGTTATCAGTAAACCTGTAATGCATCCTAGACTAATGATAACTTACACTGCCCCACTTATCTGCTTTTTTGTATAGCAAATCTCTATGAAAGAGCTCTCTATACCAGCAGTTCTCAACCTGGGGGTCGAACGACCATTCCACAGGGGTCGCCTAAGACCATCGGAAAACAAAAAGATATTTACATTACAATTCATAACAGTAGCAAAATTACAGTTATAGAGTAGCACCGAAAATAATTTTATGGTTGGGGGTCACCACAACATGAGGAACTGTATTAAGGGGTTGCAGCATTAGGAAGGTTGAGAACCGCTGCTCTATTCCCTTATTACTTAGTATGGCCCTTGGTCCAGCAATATCAGTCAGCATCACTAAGGATCTTTGTGGAAAAGCAGAATTTCAAGTCCCATCCTATGCATTCTAAATCCAGAATCTGTATTTTAACAATATACCCTGCACTGTACACCTTAAGCTAATATAAAATAATAATGAATGTCAACTATAATTAAATGTATATTTATATAATCACGGAATGTGGAGTACAGCATAGGGAATATAGTCAATGGTATTGAAATAGCTATGTAAGGTGTCAGAGGGGTAGTAGATTTGGGGGGTTATCACTTTGTGAGGGATGTAAATGTCTAATCATTATGTTGTTTTGTACACCTGAAACTAATTTATAAAAAAAAGAAAGAAAAACAGTGAACTGAAGCAGGGGGAAATATATATAT